TTCCTGCGGGAGTCGATGAGTGCTACCTGAAAACAGCATTTCCAGAAAATGGGAAGGTTTCCCCGTATTACAAGAACACTTAATATCCAAAGGTTGGTGAACATTTGTTATTTATGTAAAAATACCAAATTAATGTCTTTTTTCAGTGCTCCTCCATTATTGATTTGTCTCACCCAGATGGTACTGGATGGGGGGACATGACTCCCTCAGATTCATAGTGACTCTGACCCCCCTCCACGCCCATGTCCCTACATAAAATGAAAAAAATACACTGGTAAAACAGAGGAGTAATGGTCCATTAGTGACATGTGTATATGGCACCCATATACAGTAAAAGTATAAAATACATACATATAAATACACTATAGAAATATACGTATATGTATGTATGTATATACATTATTGTGTTAGTCTGTTGAGATAATTATGGTTATTATATAATGGTGATGCTGACAGCTGGTATATCATACATCCATCCATCCATCCAGCTAAATGTACATTCAAATGCACAATTGAATACTTGATTTGACTCCTTTTTTTAAAAAAATCCTGTACATACAAACATGTCAACTATAGTTTAGTATGTGCATTGTGTCCTGACACCCATTGGCCTCTGACCCTGTAGCTACAGCTAAAGGAAGCATAAAAATGTTGTATTACTTAAACAGAGCCTTCTTTCTTTTTCAGCTCAGAGACTTGTGCCTCGGTTTGCAATGGCCAACAGGGGAATAAACACAAGAAAATGTTGCCTGTGTTGATTCACCAGATGGTGTAGCCATTGTAGCTGATGGAGACATTTATAGCAACAGGGTGGGGAATGGCATGTGTCCGTTGGGTCGGAGTCTGTTGGGATACAAGGCCAGTGTCTCCACGTGACATGGGTCAGATTGACTTCCATCACCTTTTAAATCACCATAATGCCGCAAACAAATAATGAATAGGTCTATTGTTCACTGTGGCTCAAGAAAAAAAACAACTTTAAATAGCAGAGAGCCAGAACTTCCTTTGCATCATTCGACTTGTTTGCATCTCACTTCAAAACCAAGGCCGTAGTTGTTTCCCAATATTACTCCTCCTTGTTTGGGAGAATCTCACAACTCCTTAATTTTGAAGTTCCTGTCATTTTTCAGCACAGTGGTTGAAATAAAAAAAATGCATCATGTTCCTGCAACATGGGAAAAAAGGATCAGCAGTGTAGCTTCTGGGTCAGTCCTGAGAATCCTGAGGAGTCATTTTCTCACCTCAACATTGCCCTCTAGGGAGAGGTTTGATAAGTCAAATTTGAGGTGTATTTTCTAATACAGTTTTTGATTTTTGGGTCCAGATTTGGACCGTTGAACATGATAAAAGTATTCCGAAAATGTAAAAGGAAAGGTAGAAAGGTAAGCTAACAAACTGAAGGATTTCATAGGATGTAGTACTACTACTGGTAATAAAATCAGCTATAATAAAATACACATTAAAAACCCAAGTGTATTCAAGAGCCAAACAATGTAGGAAATACTTATTTTCCAAATGCTTTCTTAAATTTCAGATTTGTGCCAAACTGTTGGTTCTGATATGAAAAGCCAGCAGTAAAACAGAACCTTTCTCATTTTCCTTCTCTGCATGTCTCTCAGTACAAGTTAATTTCCCTGAATCTTTCCAACGGGAGCATCCTGTGCGGGCTCACAGTGACATTGATTTCACTTGACTGCAGGCTGTCTGTATAGATTCTAAGTGACTGTGCTTTCAAGCCGCTCTGAGATGTTATCAGACAGAACAGTGCTGAAAGCTGCAGACAGAGGCCCATCGGAAAACTGTAACAGGATTAGGCATGAAAGGAAACAAATCCTGCTGCTGCTCAAGTCAAACTGGACCTGTGGCCGCGTCGTTGTAGACAAAACAGCAGTTCAGAACAAAAGACTGAAAAGTCTATTATTTATTTTTGAAATGCATGTGCCCAATCTCTCACTGATAATGTCTGCAGTTCAATTTCATACAAAGAATTTTCTAATCTCTGGAATTTACTGTGCAAAGATCCAGATATTGAACTAATGTTTGTCTTTAACAAACAGCTGTAAGCTTCTGAGTTTTCTGCCACATAGCTCACTGTCCACTAGAGGGCAATGATGGACTAACAACTTAAATTTAAGATTATTTTGCAAAATTTACAAATACAGTTTTAAAAAAAAGTTTGCTTGTACCCTGTGTATTTGACCTACATGGTTTTGTTCTATGTTTACTGTTTTTTATTGTAAATTATACAATTGTACATCCACGTGTCTTCTCTTTTTACAGTGACGCAGCAGAGGCCAGATGAGGACGTGAAAGACAGTTTCTACACTCATAGACATCATGGACACGTTTGAGGTGACAGGTTGAGCCTCACAGCAAGAAGGTATGAGCTCTGTGTCTGATCTTAGCGAAGTCGATCATCTCTGTTATTCATCCATCCATCTGTCCATCCATTAGTAGCATAATGTTTGCTAGAGTCAGGACAAAAATGTTTGGCGTGAGCCACCCCTACCTTTACAGCTAGAGTGCATTGAACTATTTCTTCTCAGAGATAAGATGTTATTTTTCTGTTTCCTCTTGCCAAGGCGGGAGGGACACACTGATTAGGGCTGGATGGATTTCTGATTTTGAGCCATTTTTCTGCAAGCCTAACTTGTTGAAAAAAAATTACATTCAGCTTGGATTGGTTCCAGCTTCTGCTGTGAAACCAGAAAGAATGAGGTGTTAAATGTTGAATAGAGAAACCGGTAATAATAGCACTGCTGAGCCATCAGTCCCGAGGTAAACAATCTGAATTGTTGTGCTGTGAATTTGATGTTTTGTTAAGTGGAAATCATCTACGCAGAAGTGAGCCAGCCATTTATCTTAGATGTAATAATGTGAAGTTAAAAGGAAGAGAACGTGCTGTGTGACATGTGACCAAGCAGATTATTGTCATGACTCAGCTCTCTTCTCTAACTCTAAGTCCAGAGGCAAACTTCCATCATCAACACGTCTTATCTCTACCCTCTACCATTTCCTCTGTGTTTCTGGGGTTTATGAGCTTTAAAGTGCAACACCACACCAAGCCTGCAGTATATTACAGCCGGTCTGTGATTTATGGCACCTACGATAGGCATTCAATCGACCTCATCCATATGGAATTATACAGTAGGGTGAAAGAAATTAAATTTGGAGTGGCAGAGTGCCAAAATTAGAAACACACACTCACACCAGGCCTGCATGTATAGTCAACTACAAAAGCCACATCCTCACTGATGTGTCCCAGTGTCTGGGGGATGTGAAGGAGAAACACAAAAACAACAGATCTCTTGAGAAAACAGCAGGAGATCACTTACATTTGTGTTGAGTGTTCTGTCCGACAATGGGGACCGTACTCATCAACCGCCTATTTTCCCTGATCACAACAGAGATAGATCAGACAAACACCTCTGCTTCAGAGACTGTGCAGCAAACATGTATTGGTTCATCATGATGTGTCCCCAGTGGAAACGTTTGTTTTGGCTAAGAAAACAAAAATACCCGCTCAAAAAAAGAACCAAAAAGGAGGGATCCATCTTACATATTTTAAACGTTGTCTATTGGATGTCGGTCTATTTAAAAAGAGCTTGCAAAATGTACCATTAATATTCTCAAATTAGTTGTGGTGATTAATCGCACATAAAAAGAGCTTGCAAAATGTACCATTATTATTCTCAAATTAGTTGTGGTGATTCAAATATCCAATAATTCTACCCACTTCCGGTCAGCCTCACCGAGCCCAGGGCAGTAAGTCTGTCCACGGCTGACTGAGACAACGGTCAAACAGATTATGAGGGACCGTAGACTGATTAATATCATTCAAGACAACGGCTTCAACCAAGTTTGAAAGCAATTCTCGATGTTCTACAATTCGCTGCTAGTTTGGGATAATTCTGATTAAAGAAAAATAATCAACTGACTAAAAAATACAGCAGAGTTTAAAAAAAAATAGTAAAAAAAAATTACCAATATGGTTAAGCAGACTAATCACGTCACACAATGGGGAAGACATAAATATTACAAAACTAACACTGAGAGCGCTCCCGTAATTCTGGCAGAAAAGGTTGATTCAGATTTCATGTTGTTTCTATGAGTTTACATGATGACATGGATTCTCTCTCTCTCTCCCTCTCTCCCTCTCGCTCTCTCTCTCTTGCCCTGCTTTGTTTATAACTCTTCAACAAGCTCTTGAAAGGTACTTAAGATTGTAAGCACTGCACCAGTGGCACTAAATAGATGCATGAGAGGTCCTTTACTCACAGCATCAGGTAAAAGGCGTCACAAAATCCAAAGTTGCCTGAATGAATAGCAGATATTATGCATTTTATTTTAACTGAGGTTTCAGTGTGGTAGAAAATGGTTCGCCTATTTGTTAAAATTGATGTTGATGCTGACGTGGTGCAGCTGCTCTGGAAATTCAATTTAAAATCATTTTCTTCTTAATACTTCATATAGTATAAGAAGTTGAATACGACAATATAACCCATTTAAAAACGACTTTGTTGATAATATCTCGGTGTTTGGTGCAGACAGTGACTTGGCGTTCTGAAGATCATCATCAGTGTTTACTTCACTTCAAAGATTTAGGGCATTACTTTGTTTACGCACATGACTGGATTTTGCTGGGGTTCCATAAATAGGTCAACTATTGAGGGGCTTTGGTGCATTTTAGGTTGCAGGATATCATGGTGTGGTTTGCTAAACCCACTTCAAAGTGCTGTGAGCTTTATATTCCTTTTCTCTATTTTAGAGCTGTCAGTCACTATTTTTGTCCAATCAGACGACCTCACCTGTTATGCACACATTTATAGCATTTCCCTTTTCCGTTAAAGGAAAATTAAAACCTATCAATGGTCTTGTGCTCTTATCCATTGGATTTTACTAGTTTTAATATCTAATAGTTAGCCAAAAATAATTAGCATCGATTTATTTATTCTTTTTTTCCCCCTGGAATTCGTTTGTTTCGTTTTGTTATTTGTAAATTACTGCAGTAGAAAAGTGGTATACAGGTATTGACCATGAAAACAAAAAAAGTATTTTTGAAGCACATTTATAGTTAGGCCATAAAAGTAGTACAGAGTGAACAAAGACAAGCAATTATTCATTCCTATCCTTTAAAAAATTCATTCAAATGTCCCATCTTTCTGCAGCAGATATGCCCTGAATCTATTTATCAACTCATGTTATTTTCTTGCTAGATCTCAAGTGGAAAACAGACAAAGCAGAGCTAACGAGTTTCCTGTCTCTTGGACTCTGGGTGCTCTGTAATCTTTTTCATTATCATCATCTGCTTGATTTCTTCTACAATCACTCAAAACCCCAAGAGAGTGCCGTATGCCGTCTGAATGTACGCAGAACAAAGACACCGAAGAAGAATATGAGCCACAGGTGATTCCTTTGTGCTGTGGCCTCATTAGCACAGGAGGGTTAACGTTACATACAAAGGAACAGACCTGGAGTAAAATAAGACGGAGGAACAGACATGGCAGTTATGAGTGTATTGACTTATCTAATCCTGCCTGTGTCACATTTTTATTTTGCTTTTTTTTTACTTGACTGATTAATGTTTCATGTCGTACGTTTCTGACCAGATTAGTGCTGAATACTTACAACATACTTACAGTACAAAAAGACAGAAAGAAAACAGAAAATCAGACAGAGGGCGAGGCCATAGCAGATGAATACACTACCACATGCACTTGAATAAATGATAATAAAAAAATGACTTGAACCTGAATACTCTTCCATTAAACATCTGTTGATTATTTAACCAATGAGCTTGGTTTGCAACGTGGACAAAAATATAGGACAGGAAGTGAAGTCATGGTTTAACTGATAGTGTAACTGGGAGATGGAGGTGGAGGTGAGATCAGCAATGGTTGTGCGTAACTGACTGGGGCTGTGAAGAATGGCCCGTGTGGGAAATGAACCGACCGAACAGGGTGTGTGAAGGAGGGCCTGAAGTAGGAGGTCGTAAAATGAAGGGCCAGTGAGCAACCAGGCTGACTGGCTTCCTGATGACTATTGATTCTTGACTACAGAGAGGATGGAAACAATTACATTGTAATATAACATGGGACTGAACTAAAAAAAAAAATGGAAGCATTTACTAACACACAGTGTCTGAGGTAAGGATACAGGAATAAACTGTAGGCTGATGAGCAGGTGTGTGCAATCAACACACAACACGTGTCAGAGGGTGAAGCTGCTGTACCAAGGAGGAGCCCATGTGTTGGCACTGGCGAAGAATTTGAAAAAGTCTTGTTCTATCAGCAGTCGCACTGAGATCAGCACATCACACTGATGCAAACACACCAGCACAGGCATGAAATTAGCATTTTACCAGCAGTGTTTGCTTGAAGAAAAAAAACAACCTCTCATCTTGTGTTTTCTGAGTAGCAGCCGCGTTTGTGCGAGTGCTCTGTAAATGTCATGCCAGTGCTTCATACACAATCATACCATTAGGTAAAAAAGAATAAAAGAGTGGGATAGAATAGAAAGAAGAAGCCAGCTGTGTTCAACTTGAAAGACAGTGACAAACACTCAATGCCTTCACTTTCAATGACTTCTCTGTACAGTCTGTCAGTTCTGTAAAAATGGTTCATTTGAATGTAATCTTGAGACTTGGACTTGAGAGAAGAGAAAGAGGTACTGATTCGTCTAAATAATTTCTTCTTTCATAATGATATAAATCAAGTCATTGTAAACCAAAACAAACCAAAAAAACCCCCCAAACAAATAGTAAGACATTCCACATAGGGTCAGAGTGCAGGATGTAAATAACATTTGGTAAAAAAATACAAAATAAATTAAAAAAAAAAGTCAGAAAATTTGATCTTAGAGGAAACACTGCTGAACTAGAATGGAATAATGTGGCTACTAATGTAAACATGGCCTTGAACCCTGTTAGGAGACATAACCAATCACAGGCCAGTAGAGAGAGGGCATGCTCTGATCGTCTGTTAATACCACGCTGTGATTTCCTGTTGTGAAACAATGTAAAAATGGTAGTCTTTGATGGAAATAGTTTTAAAATGAATGGAATCAACCTGACAGCAGAGTCTTGGCTTTAGCTCAGCATTGATGTCCAAAACAAATGGATCTGTCTAAAATAATCTGATAAGAGAGGCTGGAGACAGAGAGTTCTAATTCCTCCCCCAGCCCCCGCTCTCACATCCCCAAATGTTTCAACATCCTGTGAATAAAACTCAACAGTCCACACTTTGCAGCAATCCAGCCAACGAGAGCTTCAGAACAGCAGAATGAGGAAGGCATTTGTGTAATAGGCTGCGGTACTTCAACAAATTGCATCATAGATCTGCTGCGTAGTAAACAAAGCAGCCGTAAATGACGCGTCAAGGC